TAAAAAGTAATTTCTTATTTTAAATTGGAGACTATAAACTTATCAACAATAAATTCAATAAGCTATCATTTTCGCTTAACATTGAAATAATTGCTATTTTTAGATTTCAAGTAAGCTACTTCATTATTCTCTTATTTCATAAAATCAAACTTTCACTGCGAGGAGAAAAAAATATCTACTTTAGCCGCTTAAAGATAAATTTAAAAAAGTAAATCACTTAACATTGAAACAACACCACTTTCATTTAACATTAAAACGAGCGCTATTTTTAGAAGATATCTCTTAAAATCCCAGGCACAGCTCCCCTCATAAGCGGGACTTACTGAGCATGCGCAAATCGATACAACCCCTCATGTTCGGCCTAGAGAAGGTCGTTTGCAAGCAGCCATGACTTGAGGGAATAAATTTATAAATATTAGAAATATCATACAGCCGCAGAGTTCAATTCTAAACTCATTATTTAAAAAAACTAAATCGTAAAATAACTGTAGCTAATAACAGAATCTTTAAGATATAATTAAACGATCTGAAAATGGAAAGAGATTTAGAATATTTTACACATAATTACTCATCGTAGTTGTAAATGAAGATAATGTATCATAAATATGATAAATATTACTTACTAAACAAATCATTTTTACAAAATAGCTATTTTTAAGCGTAAAGCGCATAGACTGGGCTGAAAATGTGATTTACTATCAATGAAAGCTGTACAAATTGTGTAATTTTTATAAAGACATTCAAAATAAATTTCGAAAAATTAAATTAATATGAAAATGTATCAAACTTTTGCTCGTGTTTCAAATACTATAAAAACCTCTTTCGTAAAACCAATAATTCTTGATAACTCATAATTATTATTTTTGTTTTTGTATAACTCAATGTTGAAATGAGTATATGTCGTAGGCTAATTGTACAAACCAGCTTTGTAAGCAGCCGTCGTCATAAGTGTACAGTATTTTATAATCAGCGTGACATTCTCAAGGTTTATTGAAAAATATACCATTCTTTGTTCAATTAACCCGATTTATTTCAGGCAGTTTAATATTCCCAAAGAAAATAAAACTGATTGCAAATAATTTTATAAAAGGATTATTGCAATAACCCTAATCAAATTCTGTTTGAGAGATTCTTCGTACATTTCCTAATTAGCATAAATGCATATAGGCTGATTGTAATAAGCCTAAAAATATCAGGCAAATTGGAAAATAATTTAACCAAACAGCCTAAAACATTTCAAAATGTCGACGACTTTTGTAAAGAGATTTTTCAATAAGCTTACGATTTATTACACTTTGTGATAATTTATAGTCAGAATCTGTCAAGATTTGTCCGTTATTCTCGTAAGTTTAAATGAGGACGATTCTGCCATTCCTTAAGTGAAGATACGTTTTTGAATTGAGAAATATTTATGAAATGAAAATTTAAATGAATGGAAAATGAAAATTTAAAGAATTATTTAACCTACTTGGGACATTGCAATGAAATTAGATACTTCGTCTAATTGGAGATTTTGGCATTTAACTGTTCCTTAATATATATTATTTATAGGTAGGTACTTTAAAAGTTTCCAAAATCTCTACTCGATAATAGCACAACCACAGAAAGATCTTATTGCCCATTTGAGAATTGTGAAATTGAATTTAGCTCAAATTGTTTCTTAAATAATTTGAAAATGTGGTTTATTAAATTGCCTTAAGTCTCATTTATTTAACATCTTACATCCAACCTCTGTTAATTACGATAGAATTATAAAATATATCAAATTACATTATCATATTCCGATTATTTTGGTAATAATTATAAAAACAATGCACAAAAGTATTCATGCCACTTATAACAATTATGGGATTCAAATTACTTAGGAATCGGCAGGGCTGAAAAAACTTTCGGAATTCTGAAAAAGGATTTTTGAATATAAAAATATATTGAAGTAGGAACTAAAATAATACTTTTACAATACCTGAAACATTTATACATATTTGAGATTTAAAAAAATACATACTTTTAGAAATTTAATACTTCTTAAATATTTCAATTTTAAGAAATAGAACTCACATACAAATTTTTTCTTATCATTGACTTCTGTAGAAAAACTTCAGAATTCTAATGTGTAAGCATTGGGAAATTTTTGAGCACATATTTTCTATGTAAAATATGAGGTAAACAGTTTTCAAGTTTTACCAAAGTTGACATTTATTACAGTAGAATTATATGATTATTATATAGGTATTATATTATTACAAAAAAGTGTCTTGAAAGAGTACAAGAAAAATCACATGATTCTGGAAATACGTCATTCATAGAATCAATTTAAAAAATCGCAATTCAAAAATGTAAGTAAAAAATTAGAAAACGATCCCAAAAACCCGCCTTTTATAGAATCGCTTAAAAATCGTTTTCACACTGAATTCTAATTATCGTATGAAAACTTAAACCACGTGAAGATGTTTTTGGACTTTACTTTAAATTCGATTTTTAAGTAACCTCAAGATAAGATAAGACCTTAGATAGTAAGATAGTAACTTTAAATTCTATTTTCAAGATGCCGACGGACATAGAATTTTGAAAATCACTCAGGTTGCATCACTCAGGCTGCTTTCTACAAAATCAGATCTAGTGCAAAGAAATTTTATGGATAGTTCTTAAAATTTAAAAGTACAATGTTCCCGAATTATGAAAATAGCGCAAAATTTAATTTTTGAAATTAATCTTTTGCTAAAAGCTAGCGAATCATTTAATGGTGGTATGAGTGTCAAATTAATATGTAGAACACTACACCTCCAATAAATGTTATGGAACACAGAGCCGCTTCCTCACATGAAAAATTGCGAATTACAAAAGCGTGATTCTTAACAAGTACGATTAAAAATTAAAATAAACCAGAATGTATAACAAGTTAATATAAGAAAATTTTAGAAATATAAAACAGGAAAAGCGTTCCGAATGATAAAATTATCCATCGCAAATTTTGTTTTCAAACACATCAAAAATTTAAATGTGGCTTACCATAAGTTAGAAAATTACGTTATGTCACTAAAATTAAGTAAACATCAGACAAGTGAATCGATTAATAAGAAAATAAAACGATGTTTAAAAAAAAAACAATTTATCAAAAGTTCTAAGATTAAAATTTATATAAATTCAAATTCTTTCTAAATTTGAGAACATTCTACTCAATAATTTATTGTAAAATATTATACTCTAACTTCTTAGAGAATACACTAGAAAATGCTTGCATTAAGTATTTAATTTCGGTTAATCGGTAATATTTCATCTAAACTATTTGATACCTTGTCCCGCAAAAATTTCCAAATCGACCCAATGAAATAAATAAAAACGTATATTATATTTGGTATCATGGTATTAATACATACATTTTGTTTCAGTTGATATTAACATTCACAAACTGAGCCGTCTTTAGTTTTTCTAAACGCAAATGGACTAAGAATCATCTTGAATTGCCTTTTTATAGAGTTAAGTATTATAGAACAAGTAATTAATAAGTCTATTAAATATCTCCAAAATTGTCCCACTTACTTATTCTCAGGCCCAATCCGCATCAATATACCAAATAAGAGAACATTAACTCAGTTAATCATGAGCGTTGCAGGTGTTCAATTTTTTAGGGGGACAAAATTAAAACACAGTCATAAAAGTTCCCCAAATTTCCCTTATACCAAATTTTTTTTCTTCGAAATCTGCTAAACATCTGCGAAAAGATTAATATCTTTTTTGATTACACCTTTCATGAGTTTAAGAATCGATAATAATTAATGAAAATTGCATTTGTGAAGTGCCTAAATGATGAGATTTGTCTGAAATATGTCTTTAACCCTTTCGGCCCCACCGGGACATACATGTCCCACAGATATTTCCGAAAAACCTTATAAGCTAAATAAGCTTAAATTTTATATGAACGCATGTCTCACTGGTTTTCAGTGGCAATATTAATATTTTTGTTTAATAGTTTAGTTTAACTGGCAGAATTTTGTTATTTTTACTTTATTTGATTTCTTTAAAGTCGTAATTTATCTTTTTATTGGATTAAAACTGGTCTCTAGAGGGTTAAGAAATTTTGAATTATTGAGGAGGACATAAACCCCTCCCCACCACCAACTACACCCATGCTTAATCTTTCCAAGTCCCACAGGCTCAAAAATTGTCCCACTTACTTTTGACAATATAACCCACAGTAAAATTTTGATTGTTTTCATCTCTTAATCCAGTGTTTCCCAAAGTGTGGTACGCGTACCCCCAGGGGTACGGGAGCAGTTTAGTGGGGGTACGCGTTCTTATGCGAAATATCTTGCAACAAACGAAAAGTTCAAAATTTTTTATTTCAAAACAAAGCTAGCCATTTAAATTTACGATTACGTATTTTTCTATTGGCTATTTTTTGCAGAGTTAACAGTTAATAATTAGTGGTGTCAACAGCCAGTTGTGATTTTTAACTTTTGTGTAAATTTTTTATAGTAAAAAATACATTCATTTTTTTATTAGTGATACACAGCTTTACGAAAAATTTAGAAAGGGTACACAAAAGTCATAAGTTTGGGAAACATTGTCTCAATCAATCTTTTTTCTTAAATTTTAAAAGTATATTAAATTGTCCCCGTTGTTGATGATTTTAAATAAAAGTTCGTCCTGAATTTAATATTAAAGCGCAAGCACTTGCGTTTATATTTATTGACATTTGGCAGAGCAGCTTTTTGTTACAATTTAAACTATATTTCGATATATATATATTATTTCCATAACCATTTATACATTATCGGTAAAAAAAAAAAAATTATACATTATCGGTACATTTAATACAAAATATACCAAGTAAATTAAACAGCCTTCATTATTAGTTTCAAAAGAAAAATGCTATCACATACGAATGTATCAAGAACTTGCAACACTTTAGCCTAGTTAAAAAAAAAAAAGTTCAACATAAACAAAACAAGATCCCGCTATAGTAAAAGGTCAAAGCAAATAGATTTTTTTTCCCTTACCTGACCTCGTCTTTAACTCTTCCGGTATAAAATAGCCCTAAAACAATGATGATCTACTCGTCTAATCGGTATTCAATTGTGAATTAGTCACAATCCTCAAGAAGTTAGAAGATATAAGTCACACACCATTTAATAGTAAGGAAGTGCAATGTCTATTTTTATTTGCAAACAACAAGCTGTTACTGATTCTCAAAAAATAAAGAACACCGGCACTCTTACGTTTTCATCAGTCGATCTCTTTAAACCATATGGAAGACCGCTGTTACAGAGTTCTGCAGTGTTTTGACTAAGGGTTGCCAAAAGAGTAAATTTATGACGTGAATCGCTTTTGTCGCCAAACGATTCTTTCGCCAGGCTCTTTTCGGTTCTAAAATTCGAACGGCAAATTGTTTAATTGGGCTTCGTGGATTTATGTTTCTTTATTATTAAAAAAAAGAATTTCATCAAAAAATTTAAACATTTCTTTGTACAATTGTATCACAAAGAAAAACTTTTCAATTAAAGAAACTAAATTTAAACACTTTTTTGAATCATTTTTACAATTTGTCTGGACAATATTGTCTTGAGTAAGTTCCATTAAAAAATTACTCAGAATTCCATTCAGTTTTGCAAATCGTTTGATTTTAATGATAAATCATGTTTGTCTAATATATTTAAACAGTTAGCAAAATGTTTCTGTAAAGAATTGGTGGAAAAGTATATATCAAATCACATAAATGAGAATCTGTTGATCTTTTACGAAAGAATTAAACGAAAAATTCTTTTAAAATGGAGTTTTTTAAAATGGAGTTATCAGTCGAAAAAAATTTTATTGGCTTCTGTTTCCTTTATTTTGTTTTTTAATTATTTGATTTCAAAATTCATGTATGGTTAATATGTATGGTCAGATAACAAATTTTTGTTAGATCAATTTACAAATTCAGTTGTTCTTCTATTTCGAAAATTGCTCTAACTGGAAAAAATATTAAAATTTATATTAAGTAGTTCATATGTTTATTAAATTTACAAAATAAATAGGGGCGGGATGCCCGCCGTTTGATAAATTTCTTAAATTTAATTTTTTGTGATTGTCATCTAAAACCAAACGTTACGAAACTGATCTTATTGAAAAACATAATTAATTCAAATTGTTATAATTTAAATAATTTTTCACATTTTTTTTTCAAAACCGATATCAATATCAATTCAACGCTCATTAAATAAAAGCGTAATGAATTCATTTATAGGAAAAACATGTGAGAGGTTTAATTCTTTTTTACAAACAATACTTTTCTATATTTTTTTAACACAATAAAATTTGCAAGTTGGCATTATTTGATGTCTTATAATGTTCGTAATCTATTTACATTATTATTAACTTAAATTGCAAACCAGCTTTTTTTTCACGATTTTTAAAACTATAAAAACTGGATCAAACCTTCCAACTTGACCCACTATTAAAGACGTTTGATCAGCAAAAATTAAGATAGTTATTAAAACCTATACAGTTTGTCAAAAATCTTGATTTGGAATACCAAAATTTATGTACTTCCCTTAAAAGTTGTTTTGCAAAAATATTTCAATAATGCATAGAAATAGAAAGTTACTGACTTTTAGTATATTCATCTAAGGGTACAAGGAATTAAACTTTTATTTTAACCCGTTACCTGCTTTTGACGTAATATTACGGTATTTTACGCACCTCGTCTTTGACGCATTATTTTGTGGCCCAGTCTCCATCAACTAACTAATATTGTCTGCATATTACCAAAGAAAGATAGAAAAGCAAATAGCATTAAAACAGATATGGGCCCAAAGAATTTTTTTTTGCAATAATTTTGTCTGAATGTAAAATAAGGTACCTGACGAAAATTAACAAATCTGAGCTAAAATTGCTATATGACTCTAGTTTGATTCATTTAACCATACTGTTTGAACTCAATCCTCAAACTCATTATTTTGTTTTATTCTTGGCTTTCTTAGAGTAGTAATGTTTTCATTATTTTTTTTCTCTTGTTGTCAATTTTGCTCCTTATCTTTCTAAAACCTTGTTTCAGAACTAACTTGCCTGAAGAGTCCTGGTGGCTCAGGGGATAGAGCGTTCCAGCTATACTTGATCCAGGAGCTCCCTTGTCTTCCGGATTGGGTTCCAAATTACAAGGATACGGAGTTAAACATTAGTAATCATAAACCCGAAGTTGGGTAAGCCATTCTATGACTCTTATAAAATAAAATAAAACTTCCCTAATCAGCCGTTTTACGAAAATATATCAAAAATATATCAAAACCATGTAAAAAAAATGGCTTTTAATGCATTTATCTAAGAATAGAAGGAACTTTTTTTCTATATTTTAATGCAAAGGAGGAAAGTACTCTAAATTATGTCCCAAGTGATATTTCCTTACTGGCAAATCGCTGATAGACAGAAACAAATTCTGCTACAATCTGATTATCATCAGCATTTGAAAAAGTCGGGTATCTCCTACTACGTTTGGCAACAACAGAAACGAAAATGGCCCTTTTGTATGCTACTAAATCAGAAAAATTATATTTAGTATTACATTTACTTATTTGATTTAAGTTCAACGGGAACTTCAACTGAAAATAACAGTTTTAATACAAAAACAAATTTGTGCTCATCAAAAAAAAATTAGTTTGCTCTCAAAGTATACTTATTGTAAATAATAAGAATCATTAGAAAACAGTATTTTTTTTTCATAATTCGTATTTCATTTATAAGCATATATTTTAAGCTTAAATTTCGTGGTCTTAAAATAAGCAAAAATAATTTTCAATGATAATTATTTTTCTTTCAGTTTTTTGAAATTCTTTATTAGCGTTCGTAGTAAAAGGTTCACATTATTTTGATTATATCGCATTACCAAAAAATGTGACATTACTACAGTAATAGAACAGAATAGTGATAGTAACAGAATAGTAATAGAACTTGTTAATAACTTAATGTATGGAATTAATAATGGTAATAGAACTTAATATAATTAAAATGTCTATGTAAATATAATTAAAATGTCTATGTAAATATAATTAAAATGTCTTTTATAATACCTGCTCACCTCTAGATTATAATCCTTGTTATTAAACTTTATATTATAATAGCATTATTTATGAAAAAAATAGTTGTTAAGCCACTTTTCTCGAAATCAAACATGAAGAGCATACATTGTTTTTTTCAATTGCAAGGCAGTATATTGTTTTGAAGTATTGTTATTTGCATGTTTTTGTTGAAAAATTTAAAAAAATTGTTTAATTGGAATTTATCTAATTGAAATTAGAGAAATTAAAAGCCGAAAAACAAATAATTTATCCAAGAACATTTAAAATGCGAATTTCAGTAATCCGAGTCAAAAATAAATATTTCATCAACTATGTATTAAAACTAATTTAACCTGCATAGCTAAATTAAAAGTGAAATATTTTCTAATAAAAAGAATTATGCTACCTCTATTGTTGATGTCAAAAAATGATCAGCGAAAGTTATTTTCATCCAGCCTTTTATTCTTTACATTTTTCTTCTGCTTTCTAAGCTTTTCAAAATACGATAAAAACAATCAGATAAACAATCTCCCTCTTTTGAGACTTGAAAAAGAGCCATATAATGGAAGAACAATTTTTACGACGAGGTAAAGAGAGGCCTTTTTCATCTGATAGAAGATAAAATGATTGAAAGCAGATATTATTCTGGCGCCTTCTGTTTTGTGAAACTATAAATTTTCTAGTTGAATAATTTTTTAAATTTCGGAGTTGAGGTCATTAAATTAAAAAAAAACTTTACCAAAATTATATCAACTCATTAAACATTTCTAATTGTTTCCCGTCCTCTAAAAGCAGTTTCTAAGTTGCTTAAATTATTAATGCATATTTTTTTCAATTTTAGAAATATAATTAACTCGACGGCAAGAACCCATCATAGGTTAGAGTCTCTTAGTTGTCGGACTAACCGTAGAAGTTTTTGCGGTTTTCCTTCCCATGAAACGAAAATGCGGGTTAGCTCCATCAAAAAGTCCTTCATGAAGGCTAAGTTAGTCTAAATGCTTGATACGGGAGTTCCCTAGCATTCTGGATCGGGTTCCAAATTACAAGGCTACGGAGTTTAACATCGATGGCCGCTAACTAAAAAAAAAAAAAAGAAAGAAAAAAAAAGAATCTGATTTTTAACGCCGGTTAAAGAGTAAAATACATGCCTTCCAAAAAATATTAAATATAAGTCAATTATTAACTACTATTATATTGCAATTAATATTGATCAAGAAAACAATCGAATACGTTCATTTCGTTAAAATTGCCACCAATGATATGTTCAAACACATTATCGTGGTAATTATTAATAATGATATGTATCAAATAAGATAATAATCAGTAATAATATTGCCGTAAATTTCAAGTTTAAGAAATATATAAAATTTCTGTCTTAATTTTAAATTACTCATTAATTTTTTAAAAATTATGATTACGAAAAAATAATTTTCTTAATAGGTAATGAGAATATTGTCCGATGAAAATCTTTTAAACTCGAAAAGTATCTCGATGTATTGTAAATATTGAGATTTTCTTACAATAAAGCAAATATTAATATTTGAATGTCACCTTGAATTAGTCTTAAGTAGTTACATTTGTTAAACTGAAAAAAAAAATATTACGATGAAACGTAAAATAATGACATATCAATATTGGTAAAATACCAATACTTTCTGTATCTCGACTTTGAAATTCCAATATTGTTCTGTACTAATTGTAAGTATTTAAATTGTAAAATAGGACACTTAAAAAATATCACTATGTATGGTATAATATTATGCATTGTAAAATATCATACATTGTAAAGTATTGAAATTTTCTGGCGATATATTATGATATTAAAGACATTAAAATTCCAAAATTCCCCAGTACTAGTCTAAGCTAGTTAAATTTTTTAATTTTTAAAAATATATATATATTGCGATTTATCATAAAATTTCAAAATTTTTGGAGGTTATATGCCGATATCAAAATCCCACACTAGTCTAAAATAGTGAAATAACCACTTTTCCAAGGTTTTTCCACTTTTCCAAGATTTTTAAAGTCCTGCAAACAAATTAATTCTATTTTTATGCCAGAGAAATGTGAAAAATGCAGGGGTTTGCAAGTAGATTTCCTAGCACTTCTTGAAAATTATAAACCAGTTTTTTTTTCACACCATTTTATTTACTGACTGTCGGTAAAAATTTAGATTCAAGAGAATGCTGGGTTTGGGTGATAACAGGGGTAAACGCGCATTTTATTCTAGAAGAAGAATTGTGAGAAAGTTGAGC